AAAAAAAAAAAACAAAATTAATGAAAAAAAAAAAAAAAAAAAAAAAAAAAAAAGAGTTTAAAAAAAAAAAAAGAAAGCAAAAAGAAAATAAAGAAAAAAAAAAAAAGAAAAAAAAAGTAAACAACTAAGTGTGAATAAACGACACCAACCTGATTGCGGGATTAAAAAAAAAAAAAAAAAATAAGAGTTTATAAAAAAAAATAGAAAGCAAAAAGAAAATAAAGAGAAAAAAAAAAAGTAAAAAAAAGTAAACAACTAGGTGTGATTATGGGGAATGAAAATATTGCTCAATTCTATTCAGATACTTTTTACCAATCTAAAATATTATAACTAATTCTTATTCAAAACTGATTATTATATAATATATAAGTATAATCTTATTTAATATTAATTATATAAATTTGTTTTATATAATACTTAATGTTGCTTGACAATTTTTTTTAATAACAGATAATAAATAGTATCTATTATAATTAGTTAGTGCAGGTGGTTGTTTCTATGTTTGTCTTTAGACAACTCTCAACTAAAATTTTTAATGATTTCCAATCACGTTTTTGATAGACGACACGTGGTCATTCAAAAGTTCCCACGTGTTCTATTTGCAAAAAAAAAAAAAAAATCAAACGCGTTTGAGATTTTCTCTTTAGTATATTCAAATGGCATCCTTAAGAAATGTAATGAAGCTCTACCCAAGTAGCACTGCTCTTTTCGTTTGCGATATTCAAGAAAAATTTAGACCCTACATTTATCAATTCTTGAGCGTGGTATCAACGGCGCAGAAAATGGTATTCGTTTGAATCGTTTCAAGTAAAAATAGAAAACATTTTTATTAAGGACGCATTCTGTATTTGAAGATTGCTGCTTCCAAGATCCTGGAAATTCCGATGATTGTAACTGAACAGGTGTGTAAATAATTTCAAAATTTAACTATAATCTATGACTAACATTTCCATTTTTCATGATTCCTTTTAGAATCCAAAAGGTTTGTTTGCCCTCCTTTCAAGCCACTTTGCTTAAGTCTTGTTAATTAAAATGTCTTTTTTTTTTTTATAAAAAAAAAGCTCTTGGAGGAACGATTCAAGAACTCGACATTACCAATGCTAAAGTTGTATCTAAAACAAAATTTTCAATGTTAGTCCCGGAAGTAGAAAAAACATTGAAAGAAAAGAATACAAAATCGATAATACTCCTTGGCATTGAGGTACCTTACAAGATCTTTGGAAATGTTATCAATGCAATACTCATTTATTCCTTCACTCGATTCTATGTTTTATAGTCACATGTGTGCATACTACAGACGACTTTGGATTTATTAGAGAATAATTATGATGTTCACGTTTTAGCCGATGGTGTTTCATCCATAAACTATCCCGAAATTAATGTTGCATTAGAAGTAGGTTATCGATCTGTTTTTAATGCATTTTTTAATAATTAACATATTTTTTCCTGTTTTTTTAGCGTTTGCGTCAATCTGGTGCTTCAATCACAACTTCAGAATCAATTTTGTTCCAACTTCTGGTTGACGCCAAAAATGAAAAATTCAAGAGCATTTCAAATTTGATAAAGGAATACAAAGAAGCGACCTCCAATAACAAATTGTTATATAGATCTACTTTGTAATGTACTGTATGATTTAACTTATGACTGAAGATTATAAACATGTACTTTTACATTGTAATTTTGTGGGGCATTATCAAATCGTTTATTCAATGAATTATATGATTATATTTACAAGTTCCTAATTAATCAACCCTTGAGATTTCATGAATGTATTAGGCATACTTTACAAAGAAGTATACCTTAAAATAGTCTTTGATATATATATATATAAATGCAAGTCTGACCTGAAGCTATGATTACTGAATTATTTCTGTAATTATATTACGACAGAAAGGAGAATGATACAAATTAGATTTTTTTTTTTACTATCACAAAATTTATTGCCTAATATCTAAATCTGTGTTTTAAGGTAGAATAATTATAAGTATAAAATATATCATAATCTACTCCTTTCTACCAGTTTCCAAAATTCCATGAACGCCTCTGGATCTCGATGGCGGAATTCACGATGAATGTCGATGCCCTGAACATTTCTCCATGTCTTGACATTTTTCTTAACATCATCACCATAGAATTTGAAATAGACGCCGGGAACATGCTTGAAAGTATCTTGTGGAGTCTTCCATTTGTATTTTTTGAAGATCCATTCACTGCCATCAGTAATTATACATACAACTCGATCCCAATCGGCTTCTTGTAAATTATCTGTGGTATCCGTGAATTCATACACTCTCCCTTTGTGAGTGATCTGAATTAGTCGTTCTTTAGGCTTTTCATTACGAAGCTTCACTTGATCTTCGTATCTTTGGTCTTGAAGTAATTGCTTAACGTTGTACATCGTAATGAAAGCAGAAGGTGCAGATGTCACTAGAATCAATGGAACTTTAGGTGCCCTCGATTTTCCTGATGAACGATGATGTGTCCTTGATACTGGATCTTGTCTAGAATGTGCGCCTCGATCCTGTGAAGCCGAATCCTTTTTCATCTTTAAAAAGTAATCATCTGCAAGCTGTATATAATAAGTGTAGTTTTCTTCTTTGGCTTTGCTTTCAAAGGACTCTTCCCAGAGTGACTTTGGTGAGAGTTCTCGTGTCTTACGATAAACCTCCCTCCATATTTTATCTTTCTCATATTCAGCCTTTCTTTGACGTTTTCGTTCTGCGGCTAATTGCTGTTCTGAATCGGCGGCATCGAGAGGGCGCTTCTCAGAAAGTCTGACGTACGAACCTTTACCTGATGAAAGCAAATGAATTCTTCATGTTAACATAATATATTATCAAACATAGTTAAGAAAATGTGTTTACCTTTTATAAAATCTAGCCAATTTCTTCTGTCAACGAAACCCAAACGCGTGGAAAATTTTTCATTAGTAGCATTCTCATTGTAGTGGACCAGATCAAGTTTTTTAGTAATAGTGGCATGGTAAAGGACAGAAAGGGGAAGTAGTTCATTTGTCGCTGCGCTCCGAAAGTTAGTGATCATGTCTTTGTCGAATTTCTTTGAGTCAAATTGTATGTACTTGGTCTCCTTAAGTGTATGGACAACATTACCATCAGCATCAAGAAGCTGAGGTATCAAGTCTTTGTTATCATATTGCTTCAGGAGTTGAAGAGGATCGTTTTCGTCAAACTCGGTCATTATTTCTTCTTTAAGTTGAAAAGAAATAGATAGTAGAAAACGGGAATTAAAAATGCTACTTGCACGTGACACTAGTCTTTGACGACCTATAAGCTTGTTTAATGCAACATTTTGATAACCTCACCATTTATGCATCATATCATCCTTAGATATTTTTTCCATAAAATTTCTCTCTTAATTTTTTTTCCTCTTAAATGCTAAAAGCGTTCTATCGCCTTCTCGGGTCATTTATTATCTTAACAACTATGGAGAAACTGAAATTCACGTGGTAATTCCGCATTTTTAATTTTCGATCCATTAAAAATTGCGATTTCAGACGCTCTAGTAAAACAAAGAATTTATTTTTGACAATCATTAAAAATTGATTCAACTTTATTTTTAGCTTATCAGGATATACAATATATACAGTGGTGATAGTGATTAAATTTTTGAATAAAATGATATAAGTTGTCAAAAAAAAAATTATAAATATACAGTATATTTAAAGAGTATATACAGTATATTAGAAAATATACTTGAAATCAAGTTTACTTATATAATATTGTAACTTTATATTATACACTGGATCTATTTTTACTATTTTATAGCATTTATTGTTTTTATATAAAATTTTATTAATTTATTAAATTTTATAAATATTATATTATATATAAAATAATCAATATATAACATTTATATTAAAAAAAAAAAATACTATATTTAAAAATAAGAAAATACATACAAATTGTCTTAAAAGTTTTTTGAACAAATGTTGAATTTATATTTTTATTCACAATTCAATAAATAAATAATCAAATCAAATAAAAATATATATTAATAAGAATATTAAAAAAAAAATTTTTTTAATAGATTTTTATTAAATTTTATTAAAATATTTATTGTTATGTCAAAACAAAACTTTTAAAAAATATTGGTTTAGTTAAATTATAATAAATAAATATTATAAATAATTTATTTATAATAATTTTATTTTAATAATTTATAAAATAAAAATAAAAATAATTAAAAAATAATTTTTATTGAATTTTAAGTTGTTTAATTAATTTTTAAATTTAATTAATTTATTAAAATTTAATACAAATTATAAAATTTTTTGAAAATTATTTTTATAAAACCAATTTGTATATTGTAAAAAACTTTTTTATAATTTTTACTAATTAAATATATACACATGTATATATATTTTAATTTTGTAAGTATTTTTTTTTAAAATATTTTATATAATAAAAATTATTTCTTCTATTACAGTTTATATACAGTATAATGTAAATTTATAAAAAAATTTTAATCAAATTTGTTTTAGCTTAAAATCAAATTTGAAAATAAATTTATTAATAAAGTAATTAAAAAATTTAATATATATATTTTTGAAAATATATCTTTAAAATTTTATATAATATATATACTCAAACAAAATTGTTGGATCTATTGTTTGTTTTAATACAACTTTCACATATAACCTTACTATGGTACTATCTACTATGCCATTTCAAAATTTTCAAAACTTTTTTTTCAAAAAATCAAAATTAATTATCTTCTTCAAATAATCATTGTTCTCCAATTATCCAATTAGATTTCATCAAAACAACAAAGAAAAAATCAAACCAGTCCAAATCGATTTTTCAGTACAATAACAATAACAATAACTATTATAACAATAAACAATATTAATTATACTCTATTATCCATATTAACAAAAGCAATATTAACAAGTAATAAGGAATTAGTGAAATGGATTATTAAGTCAAACCAGGGATTTTCTTGAAGACTTTACTTTTATTTATATAGATTTTATAGTTTAAATAACTTAGTTATAATTTCAATAGCCCATGTTATTATAACTCCAGTTTATTTTTTCTTTTAATTTTTTTTTATTCTCAAATTCTTTTGTGTCCAATTAAAAACAACTCTAAGTAAGTAGTCATAACTACTATTCAGCTATATTTAGCATATATAATATTGTTTTAAAATTTCTTTTTAATATTAGTTAGATATAAATATATAGGCAAGCTAGCATTTAATTTGTTGCATTTTTGCATATAAGAGATATTGTTTCTTTTACTATGTATATAACTTTTCATATAATACTATTAATAAAGAAATGATGTTTATCTACCAGAAAAAAAAATATTTTTTTTATATAATATTTATTTATTTATTATCAAAAATATTTGTTCAAAAGCTTTTTAAACAACCTGTATTTCTGTTTATATTTATATTGTTTTTGCTTTTAATATAAGAAATTTTAAAAAGAATTCAAACAATTTAAATAACAAACAAATTAATTTTTTTAAAAACCATAGCTAATAATAGTTACAGTAAATATGATTCTAAATAAAAATTATTTATTAAACCTTATAATTTTCAAATATAAAATTTTTTTAATAATATTAATCAGAGTTTATAAAAATTAGAATAGATCTTAAATATAAATAATGTGTTACATCCTTGAATTTGAATGGATTGAAAATTTAAGATCTAGAATTGAGTATTTAACACAATTTATTTCAGGTATATAAAAGATTGATATCAAATCAAATTTATACAACCATGATGATGAAAGAGTGAAAAAATACATATAACTATTTGACCAACTACAATACTTCTTGATCAGATGAAAGATCTCTATAATTATATATTAATATTAAAAAAACTAAAAAAACAAGTGACAATTATTTTAAAATACAATATTTAAACGGGACATAAATCTTGGTGTATTCTTATTTATGCATAAAATTATAAATTCGTAATTTTAAAGTAACAGAAATAGAATTAAATTATAAAATACTGTAATTAAACTACTGTATTCAAATAAAGAATTTCATCTAGTTTTCTGTTTCTGGATCTAAACCATGAAGATAATAAAGCATCGTGTTTCTGTGCTTTACCGATAAATGAACCTCTTTTAATTCTAGCTTCCCATCTGATCTGTGTATAAGAAAAACACCAACAACAAAAGGAAAAAGAAAATAAAAGATACATCTCAGTTTTTCTTTTGGAAACGAGAGAACAAGAAAAACACAAAAACAGTACAGAAAACCAGCAATACCAGTAACAATAATACCAATCTCTATGCCGATATTACTATTTTTTTTAGCAATAAAGTCAAAAAAATCTATGGCACTAATGCTAAGAAGAATAAAAGAACCAACAAAGGCCCATATAGACTGTGATTGTTTCAATAACTCCAGATCTTTATTCATCCTCTCCAGCTTTGAAACCTCGTTTTTTAGATTTCCAAACATCCTTTCATCATAGTAGATAATAGAATCTTTCAAAAGATCAGAGTTCTGATTCTCTGAATCAGAAGCAGAATTAGAAGATACAAAATTTCTCAGAGCCCCAATGACACTACCTCCAGAAATGAGAACAGAAATGGAAGATGCAATAGTATTTGTAGTCGAGTTTACACTCAGAAAGTTAATCTTTAAAAGTATAAGAATGCCTCCTAAAACGACACATAACGTGCACAAACCAACAGTAAATGTATTTAAATTTTTAACATTTTTAGTAAGAGAAAAGGTTAATTTAAAATCTGCGTTTAGAAGACGTAAATATAAATCAATC